ATGTTTTCGTCAAATATAGTGGTTAAACAAGGAAATCTGTTGGATTTAGTTAATTTTGGAATTGAAAGTTTTTAGTCTTAGTGTTTTACTCTATACTTTAATTTTACATTGTAAAACTTTCATAGGTTAACGATTTTACGTAACTGGACGTGGAAATGGACGACGGCTTTCCATGCTAAGCCCCGCCTATTTTTATTACTTTATTACATCATATTGCAATGCTTGTATCGGCTGTTTGTTTCTCCTGTGACATTATCGTAAAAACAACTATATAGGATTATAATAATACGAAACAGATACCATATCCCCTGGATTTAGAATGTCCATTTTCAATGTTGACTGGTAACAGGTCAGACAACTAATAATCGCTATAGCAACTACAAATACAAAATGTTTTTTTAAATACCATCGAGGCATACGTGGAATGTCATCGACTACATCGATTCGATACGAATAAATAAATAAATAAATAAATAAATAAATAACAAACAAACAAACAAATAAATAAATAAATATATATATATATATATATATATATATATATATATATATATATATATATATATATATATGTACGTATATACATATATACATAGTTCACTTTCCAATTCGAGAACCCTCTAACAACCGGGTGCTATTTTTAGATATAATAATGCATTTAGTGTACCCCGGTACTGTATCTTATACTGTGTTGATTATGTGTTGATTTTAAAATGAACAAATAAAACCAACACATGTGTTAATTTTAAAATGACGTTCGGCAAACTGTGTTTATGGCAAAGTGGAGTCGCTAATGTAGCATTCGGCAAACTGGATTTCGGCAGTCTGGTCTACATCATAATATATAGGCCTATGCAGGAACCTATCCGAAAAGACTTGGTTCTACCAATCGAACTCAGTGGTGGCGACATTCCCGACAATTTAGGGGTTTCGAAGGCTTATTTAATCGATTTTGGAGTCTACTAATAATTATGTAGAAAATACATATACATTCCCCCGCCCCCGACGAATTGTGTTTATCTCCTCACCGCTGGTCCCAACCCTGATCGAACTAGCGCCGAATTTTGAAAAAAAAAGAATAATAAAACACCTTACCTCTTTAATATACCTTAGCAGGCAATGAAAGGTGATTAAATGCATAGTTTATCATAATAATACTAAAGTCGATAAAATATGAATGAAAATATAATACATGAGCTTATGTCATTTTACATAACAAAGGGACTATACTCAATTAATATAACATAATAAGCCTATACAGTATTACATTACCAATGCAGTGATAATAATAAATGTACTGGAAATACCCAAGACACGGATTGACGTTCGGCAAACTCGGTTTTGGAAAAATGGATTTGGCCAGATACCAAAGTGCTTTGGAAAGCCAAATGGAAAAATCACAAGGGGCAGCAGTACAAAACTCAAGGGCAAAAGTGCAAAACTCGCGGCTGCAAAAATTAGATTAGTGGCACAAAAGTTTTTTTGCCGCCAATTGTTTTGAGTTTAGCACTGTAATATGTTGCGCTGCCATTTGAGTTTTGCACCGCCATTTGTTGTTTTTAGGTGACATATCCCGTCAAAAGGGCCGTACATACGGTACAAGAAGCATTATTAGAAACAATAAACTAGGTGTGATAGCTAATTCTAGTTTGCGTCAGTCAATTGTACCAACTGAATGGAAATCAGCTAATATAATTCCCATACCCAAAGATAACCCACCAAAGCACATTGAATGAGATCTTAGACCAATTTCATTAACATCTGTAAGCGGTAAGTTGGTTGAAAGCATTATTGGTCAAATGTTAGTGGATGAAATTCGTAATAAAATTTATTTGCAACAGTTTGGATGTACTCATGGTCTGTCGACGGTTGATGCCCTAATCGTCTCGTTGCTGAGTAATCTCTTTGCTAATGCTGATACCGGAGACGAATCAAGGGTTCTACTGCAGATTATAAAAAGGCGTTTGACCTGGTAGACCATTTTGTCCTTTTAGACAAACTACGCAGGATGAATGTTAGCGAAATTCTAATTAAATGGATTGAAGCCTTTTTACGAAAGAGACTACAACGAGTTAAGGTGGATGAATGTTTTTCCTCATGCATGACACCTAAAGGTGGGGTCCCGCAAGGCTCCTGGGTTGGGCCTATCCTCTTTTATTGTTTTTATTAATGATCTGACAACGCATCTCCCCATAATTAAATATATGGATGACACAACTATAACTGAGCGGATCAATAAACATCGCCAGAGCGAACTCCAAACAGTTATTAATGACATTCATAATTGGTCATTGTCAAATAACATGCAAATCAATGATAAGAAGACAATGGAAATGCTTATTAGTTGTAAGCGCAATAAAACCCATCTACCTGCCCTCCACATAAACGAATCTCTTACTGAGAGTTGAGCAAACTAGACTGTTAGATTGTCATTCAAGACAATCTGAGTTGGCAAGGACATATTGATTGTATTTTTAATAAATGTAATAGCAGGCTTTATTTAAAAAAAAAATTATGCCGGTGTGGACTTGATAGGAATGCCCTTTGTCATTTCTACTCTAGTATTATCCGATCTGTGATTGAATATGCATGTCCACTTTGGTTTACTGGACTAAATCTTCAACAACAAAATCCCCTTGAAAAAATTCAAAAGCGAGCGGTGAGATTTATTCTACCAAATATACCATATAGCACTGCCCTTATTTCACTTAGACTAAACTCCGCTAAATCAGCGTTTACTTTCTCTTTGTAAGAAATATTTCCAAAAAAGTCAAGAAGAGTGAGCACCGTTTAAACCATCTCCTTCCACCACCCCCTAGTCATCAATATAATTTAAGGAGACAAAATCAATTTACTTTGCAAATGGTTAAAAATGAGAGGACTAAAAAATTTATTATCAATTACGGGGTGTTTCAAAATTGGTAGATGGTTCCTAACGGAGCTCACTCTTCTTCACTACTGTATCTGTGCTTGATGTTTCTCAGCGATAATGATTTATGTGTTAATGATTTGTGTGTTTGTTTTGTATATTTTTTTGTGTGATTTTTCTTTTTTGTGATGTTTAATGTGTTTTGTTTGTGTTTTGAATGTGATTTTATTGCGTGTGTAAATCTGCATATTTTTATATTTTTATGTATTTTTATAAATATTAAAATCCTTTTTCATGTAAATAAATATCAAATTGTTAATTGATCCTGTAAATTTTCTTTTTAAATGTATTTTGTGACTTTTTATTGTATAATTCAATCATTGTATACTGTGATTGCCAATAAAGATATTTTTGAATTTGAATTTTTGAATTGAAGGTAAGATATAGGGCAGTGATAGTGAAAAGAGTGTGAACAAAGAGTTAAAAAATAATACCAAAACTGAACTAGGCCTATAGAGGTACGCCTCTACGAATAAGATAAATGTGTTTTAGATAAATTTGGAATGCCACTGAATAAATTTTGTGTACTGGGAGAACGTTTCTAATATTGAGTCTAAAGGGCGTAGTGGTTTTAAGTAAAAGTTCTCAATGATTTCCTTATCATTCGATTTGTGTCGCACCAATTGGAATAGTGGTCTATGCAGTAACTGGGAAGTTTATTTGAGTGACCAGCTGAATTGGGCCCAATTCAGCTGGTTGTTGCCATAATTCACAAAAATGAATATGGTGAGCGAAGGGTGACAAAAAAAGCTACCTGGAATAGGCCAGGCCAATTCCACTGCAAGTAGAAAAAAAGAAATGCACACTGATCGACCGACCGTGGCATTCAAAATCCATCATACGGGCAACACAACATTTTTTAGGCCTCATTATAATAACAATGGTTGAATAATAATATCAATCATGATCATAATAACGATTACAACAATGATGATAAACATTATGATAATATTGATGGTGGTGATGAGCTCATTTGAAAAAAAAAAAAAAAAAAAACACACTGGAGCAAGCATTAATCGCATCCAATTTTATTTCCACAAAACGAACGGATAGAATCAACATTTTGAATTTTAACTACAAGTCTTGAAACCTTTTTCAAAATTTAAAGATAAATTACTATGTAATTCTCTTGTTTAACATCTTTCACATTACAAAAACTACTAAAAGGCATAATATAGTGACATAAAAGGGTCAGTGTTGGTCAATGGTAGTGGCCAATGGTCATACATTTGTGACCTCTAAAATACTACTAATATAATAATAATTATCAGAACAGGCGCGAAGGCCAGGGGAGGAAGGTGCGCACCCCGATTTTGAGATGGCGTCGCCATCACTACCGTGTACACGCAGGTAAATCGGCGGGCGTCAGTATGCTGAGCTCCGATAGCTTCCACCGAAAATAAGCCTGCGGTACCACCTGTTTTCAGGGGAAAAACATTAACTACCTTACTAAGGCTATATATAAACTAAGTTAAACATCATTGAAGAAACTTAAGATGCCTCACAAAGATCTAAAGTAAGAAACTACACAAAATTTGGGCAACAACACAAAATGATAATAACAATAACATAAACCCATTGCATACAATTATATAATGCGTAGTCATACATGTATACATGTATAAATACGATACATATCCCACCCCACCCCCACCACACACACACATCCACGAGCACACCACCACACAAAAACACACACACAAACTTACACGAGTGAAAACATAATCTCATGATGGAGATAATAATGATGCCGGGTCCCCCACTTTTTGGCAGAAAATACATAATGCTTATGGAGATTTTTGTCACGATTGGAAAGAAATGCAAGAAAAGAAAGATGGAAGAAGGAAGACTGAGGGAGTGGAAAGAGAGTGTTTATCCAGTTCCCGACCGAGTTAAATTTTGTCGCAATTCACATTGGCGGATATTAGAAGGCGGGGGAGGGGGGTCAGGGGTTCTCCCTTGGGCAAAGGAAATAAAATAAAATAAAATAAAAGTAAAATAAAAAGAATTCTAGACCTACATTTTCAGGACAGTGAGCTGATTTTTTTTTTGTTTTTTTTTTGTTACAATAAGAGAATTAGAAGTCGGGAAAGCTCAATTCCCGCCATCTAGGAATTAAAATGTTCTAGGGGCGGACCCCTTACCCCCTTTTATTTTTAGGGTTAGTCGGTTCATAGAAAAAGAAAAAAGAATACGTATGCAACATATGTATACCGGTTCACACATAATACTTCTTATCTATATACACAAGAATCTTTACATTCACATTTTCATCTGAAAACAAAGTTACCAGCAACAATCGAGTGACAGTGTTCCACATCTAGATAGTGGTATGAAAACATTATCAACCTGCTGCTCTCTGTTTGAATAGTGATCGTATCAAAACGATAACATGCAGCAATAGGGTTGGTCAACGTGTACAAATTCATAACCTTCTGTTGATCATGATAAAAAAAAAAACTTTAAAAAATCGGTGTATTTATTCAAATAAATATTTCCAATAGATTTTAATGGTCCATTGTTATCAAATTTTATGACCAATTTGCCACCTAATCTTAAAAAGGATATAATTATAATTTGTGCTCTCATTTGTGGGTGACAGTGTGTAATAGACATGCAAAACAAATTTTAGCGGTTAGCTGTATATTTGAATATCGTTTTAGACTGATTAACATGCGTGTTCATCTTGTAAACATTTAGACATTTTTGGGTCCAATTTGGAGCTGGGAACGTTAAAAGCACACAATTCAAGTACATTGTCATTGTAAGAGCTGCTATAATATATTTAAAATCAAACAGCTTCATTACAAAAGCGATATATGCAAAACAGATATTATAATATATGGATTCCGTTTGTCCATTGATCTCAAATTTGAAGTTTACCGGATGATTGTTGGAGGCGTTTTTGTCTTAATTTCAACAGTTTCTAATAATAGGGTACGGTAATCACGTATACACTCCCAAGCCTATATCAAATTCTATTGCTGCCATAGACAAACTATTATCGTACACTGTCACACGAAAATAAATTTTATAGACAGATTTAAAACAGCTTTTCCATTTGTCTTATTGTCAATCTCCAATGCAATATATATAATTATCAGAACATATAGACATTCTAAATGATCGAGTATGCCGGGTTTTTTTTTTATGTCTTTGTAGGACTATAGGCTAATGTGTGTGAATACGCAGTACTGACTTGGTTAGTATCAAATGGGTGAAATTCCGAGCAAACTTCACAATCTTGGCCTATATTTAAATTTACACAATGCAGGAGGAAAGGATAACACGTTTTATTCACAACAAGGATATCCCACAGGCCGCACACCCTTTACTAATAGTATTGAAATAGTCCTACTGTACATTTATTTTATAATTTGTGGTCGACCATACAAAAATAAAGTGTAAATTGTAGTGACTCTTGTTTGAATATTAGGGTAATCTAGTTCTTCAGTACTAAATTTTCCAGGACTTTCCGCTGCTTGATCCCAGTGGAATATTCCTGATCAAGTCTGACACCATCTGTGCAATCAGGTTGAAGTTTGGAGCTTCAACCTGACATTTTACATAAATTGGAGCTTGAACCTGATCTTTAACATGATTTGGAGCTTGAACCCAAACTTTTACATGATTTGGAGCTTGAACCCAAACTTTTGCATGAATTGGAGCTTGAACCCAAACTTTTGCATGAATTGGAGCTTGAACCCAAACTTTTGCATGAATTGGAGCTTGAACCCAAACTTTTGCATGAATTGGAGCTTGAACCCAAACTTTTACACGAATTGGAGCTTGAACCAAAACTTTTACACGAATTGGAGCTTGAACCAAAACTTTTATATGAATTGGAGCTTGAACCAAAACTTTTACACGAGCTTGAACCTGAACCCAAATTTTTGGTTCCAAAAATGAAACCGCTGATAGTAAGACAACACCACTTATAAATTCCTTCTACTTGTAAACTTCTTGCCACACCAGTAAGACACCATCTAGCGAAATGTTCGCAGTTGTTTGATTTCACGTTGTAATCTTGGTCCCTAAATTGTTTATATTCATAAACCAGTGCTCGTTCGATGACATCATTGCGATCGATATTCGATGGACATGATTCAATTACAAATGTTGTAGAATCACCTTTAAAATCATTGAGACTTGTGCGACTTACGGGATCGCCATCACCCATCAAATGCATTACTACACCAGGCGCTATGTATACACCTGAAATCAGAAAACTATTTATTTACATTGAAAATAAAGAGGTGATTTTGCAAAACATCTTTAATCCAGTAATTTTTATTCAGTTTGCCCCACATTTTTGAAAGTGCAATATGGGAAAAATTAGTCATGACGATGTTACAAATCATATCAAACAGAGTTCATCAACGAAAGATTCTTATTAGTTGTATGAAAGAAGAGTTCTCTAGTCGCGTTTAAACACGCAAACTCTCGCTATCTTGGCGAGCGTCAAACCGTTTAGACTACAGAGGACCGTGCGATATCATTAGGATCTAAGATCATCTCTCTCCCTTCATACAACTTGAGGGATCACACATTGGGGAGCGTACTTTTATTTACAGTATCAAATATATAGGAACCCGATGTTATATATCGTATCGAACAGAGTTCATCAACGAAAGTTCCTTATCAATTGCATGGAAACGAGGTCTCAGGTGGAAATCAAACCCTCAAACTTGCAACCTTCGTCAGGGGAAGAATTTTGAGGAGCTGTAAGGTTAAAAACTATTAATGATTTATTGACGACTTTAAACCAACTGATATTTGGAGAACAACGACTTACCAAAATGATTCCCAAGTATTGCACACGGGACTGATACCAAATCACCTGGAAATAATAAAGCGTCTGCCATTCTCAGTGTGCATTGACTGTTTACAGGTCAGATACCTAATTGCTACCTACATTTATACAAAATGACATTTGATTTTTT